TGTTGAGATTCTTCACAATCACTCAATATTAACTTTTTTACCTTTGGAAAAAAACACAATCTAAATATCCAAACAAGATATTTACCTAATACATCAATTAATTCAATCCATCAAATGATAATACACTAATTGTCCCAATACATCAATTTGAAGAATCATAACTTCCAAACAACCCCTTATTGTTGTCAACCAAAATCTCTTCCTGTACTGTAAACTCTTTTTTTTTTTGGTAGAAGTAATGTAAACTCTTACGTCACTGGATTCGTAGAAATTCCAATCTGTATAAGAGTATTATCAGCGGCAGCCATTTTAGTAAATCCACTCGCCATTATGATAAGAGCAAATACTAGCAATTTTGTCGTGCAACTGGAATAATCAAAGCTTCTGTGGAACTTTGGTATAGGCTATGTATCTACTCTTGGACAAGATTAGCTATCTATTCATTCTTATGATGATCAACGTCTATAACTGAAAGTGATGTATATCTGTTTGGTTTTATTGTGAGTTGCTTCTTATTTCACTTTTCTGCTCTCTGCGAACCAATATGCCAAGCTGTCCTTTGGTGACTCTTTTAAGATTGGGAAACTAATGGACAGACACGAACAGAGCTAATATTCAAGTCCAAGAGGGGTTTTTAATTAACCTTCTCTATCACATGTAGCAAGTACTATGGGAATTGCGTTGTTTACTAGTGATGGTGCACTAGCTTTCATGCTATTTCTTTTATCCGTGACCACTGTTTGTATTGCTTTTATTATAGGTTGAGCAAAGACGAAAAGAAGCCTTTTCAAGTATAGATGAGGATCCAGGATCAGTTTTAGAGGATTCATTAGAAGAAGTTGTGTCACGTTATAGTTTTATGGATCTTTATCCATGCTCCACAAAGGATTTGGATCAGCTAGCCCGACAAGAGGTACATTCAATAAGCATCATTCTCCCTTGAATGTTCTGCATGTGAGACTAAATTGTAGTCCATTATCCAACTTTCTATGATGAAAAATTATGTATTGTGTATCTTTAGTTGGCGGTAGATGCTCTATCCTTTCTTTGTACTTAGGCGAATATAGACATTTTCTAGGGCTGGAAATGCAGGTTTGTTAAGCTATTCCACTTGCCACTATACCGTGTATATGTTAAGGACTTGAATTAGTCCCCTTAGCCCATAAGCTCGAGACAGAAGAGAAATAAATAGGCTCTGCCCTTTCATAGTCCACTACTGCCTGTTCATTCTTGGTTACTTGTTTGTGCTATATGGAAACCATGATGAAGCTGCAACATTCCTTCCCATTTATTGTGGTGTTTCACTATCATGTTTAGTACGCTGGTAATCAAATCAAAGGCCAAAAAGGGAATACTCATACAGATCCGCTCCGCTTCACTCTTTTTATTTATTTTTGTGCTAGGTTTAAGAATTTGAGATTATATATCAGCAAGAAATTGTGTTGAGAATTTAAAATGCAAGTTGACTTTGCATAATGTAGAGTAATATAAGCCAAGATGTATGGTGGAAGAGAGGGGGATGGGGGAGTTGGTGAAGTAAATCCTTGTAAGAGATCACTTGGGGTGATAGATCTCTAGAATGGATTAATTGAAAATTGTAAAATTTAGGATGTAGAGACTGTGAAGATTTTTCGTTTGGATGAGTGATTCTATGGCGTGAATAATTGAGTGGTGGTCCCTTGTAGTTTTGAAATAAGTATTATGGTGTACGGTCATGATGGACTTACAATCTCTCCTCTCCCCTTAGAAAGAGATACCAACAATCCATTAAGTGATAAATTCTGGATAATTAGTCATTCTAACAAGTCCCGTGTAGCTTTCCATCATCAAAATCAGGATATTGTGTTCACCAGATGGATTGTGACCAAAATCTCCTCTAGACAGCGTAGGATGAGGGGGCCCAAATGTATCCTTTTGAAGAGAAAGATGTTTAAAATTATTATCTAAGGAATGTTCCTTTCAGAACACTTTATCTTTGTATTTCCTTAGCTGTAATTCTTCATAATTTTGTTTTAATTTGTTTCCTCTTTTGCTAGTGGCTTGTTAAGCATATGGGTAAGAAGTCTGGTGTGTCCAATGGACCTAGCAGGGGAGGAGGTATATTTTCACCTCTTTGAACTGTTCTCCTGGGATTCCCTTGTGCTTCCTTTTATTCTAACTCCAATTATTTGCATTTTCCGAATATAGAGAGAGGCCCTCCAAATCTCCCCAGTTATTCAAATTTACCTACGAAATTTGTTGATTCAGATACGTCTCGTACGATGGCTTCAAGACAAAAACCTGGTATGCATTTCAGGTCTATTGTGGTCCATAGAGAGTTAGCAAATGCTGTTGGAGAACTTTGAAATTCAAATTTGTGGAGCATGATCAAACGGTTGGAATCAAACTTGAAGCAGTTTGACCTCCTGAATGATCAACCCGTTCCGTGCAAATCCTATTTATTTTCCCAGTTGCATGTAGGAAGAAAACTACACTGCTGGAGAAATACATTGGCAATACTTTTAAATGATCCTCGATCTAAACTCTGAATGTATTAAGGTTTAACTGTTACCTTATTAGTAGGAAAGCAAGTCTAGGCTACTGGTTCCAGCTTTTCCTTTTCTGTTCTATTCTGATGCAGCGGAATTCCTAGCTTAGCGGATTTTCTGCATAAGATTGGATTCAAGTTCGTATTATGGCTGTCAATGATGACATAATTTATGTGCCAGTGGATAACACAACTGTTGCGAGCACGACAGTTGCTGGATTCAATGGGGTACCCAATGCATTGTCCAATTCTGTTGGCCCGTTAGCCAGTTCTGGAGCAACTGGTCCATTCGATGAAGTGTTGAAAGCTACTCCACCTGCACTGTTATCGTTTTTGGCAAACTTACCCATAGTTGAAGGTGATTCTGAGACCTCAAATTTTGTTCGGGAGATGTATATGATGCACGAACTGCTTGATCAATCGATATGAAATTTAGTTTGTACAGATTCCAGTTTCTTATTCATGCTTGATTTCGAATTTGTTGCTGAAAACTGTGCTTAGGTCCAACACCAAATGTCGACATCATACTTTCCATCTGTCTACAAAGCGAAACAGTGGCACCATCAGCAGCTCCAGCAGGTCCTGGTAAAGGTAGGAAGGGAGGAGGAAGTCATCAGGCCGGGCCAGCCACAAGTGACCTCTCTGGTTCAAGCAGGTCACACCAGGCTCCAACCGGCTCATCGTTCAGACCACGACAGTCTGGGAAGAGGAAGGATTTCGGCAGTAAGTTCCTATCCTCTGCTTATATTTGATTTCTTAGTAGGAAGTTTGACAACAGCAGGCGCTATGCTGGCCTTTCAGATCTTCTTTTAGAGTGAATGAGCTTCATTTCGTGATAATGGCAGGGCAAGAGGAAGAGGAGAGCTCGACGGTCCAAAGCCAGCCGGTGCCCAAAGATGTTTTCCGGTTAAGGCAGATTCGGAAAGCCAGAATAGGCACCGGGGCTTCACAGACGGGTTCAACGTCTTATGGGAGTGCACTTTCTGGGGATCTTTCAGGAAGCACTGGCTAGTGGCTAGATTAGAAGTTGTAATTGCAGTCCTTTTCCCTTGTAATATTGCTGTTGTATATTATAATTTATAGGTCTGTAAGCCTGGCCGGGATACCCACTGAGTTGGCCCGGAAAAGTTTGTCTACAAGGTCAACTTAGGATCTTATGACTCCAAAATAATGTTAAACACAGACCAAGTCATAAATCTCAAATTTCAATATAATTTTCTGAGTTGAGTTGGGTGAAAATCCAGCTCGTAGGGATGTGCAATGGTTTGGACCGGATCAAACTAATGAGAACCGTGGTCTATTAGTGAAATACATTTTAGAATCAAAAATTGAATATCATTAAATTCGGTCCATTTGGTTTGGTTTGATTTAGTCTAAATATTAGTTGGTCAATCTTCGGTCCAGTACTTTTCCATAGGCCAGCCATGCGCATAATGAAACCATCGAGCCTATTCTCCTTACTTCTCTGGTGATAAGTGATATCTCGTTGACTCGTTCGTCGTTTGTCAAAAGAAAAGAGCATAACAGAGGGCCCAAACCCAAATACCTAATTAGTCTGGGAAACAAGTATTCGTTTGGTAAATTGGAATATTCGTCAGCCGATGCGAAGGAAATAATAAAATAATAAAAGAAAATACAAAATATTTCTAGAAACGACGCGCGTGGGTGGTTACGCTTTTTGTGCCCCTTCCCCACGCCGGAATTCCATTGGTGTGCGGTGGTATGCCTTCCCCACGCCAAACCGGCCCAACCCAACTCACTCACGTCAGAAACTGTGGGCCCGTGACATTTACCTGCCCACAACCCACCGCCGTCGACGAATTTTACACCGGCGGCCGGCTGCATAATTTCCACCAGCCCCTCGATCATTTTTCTTCTTACAATGGAATCTAAAAATTGCTTATTGATTTTGCTACTCTTGAGAACCCCGATGGGTTTTCTTACAAAACTCTCCCTCTGTTCATTTCTCTCATTCACCCTCTTTCCCCAATAGTACTACTAAATTGCCTCAAAATTACCGAGTTAAAGACACATTTGGTCACTGAGATTACAAAATCGGGACATGTTTAGTCACTAAAAAAAATTAATATCAAATTTGATCACTACAATTACTAAAACTGGACACATTTAGTCACTCGCCGTTAGTCTCCGTCCAACTCCGTTAATGAAGTCCGTTAAGTGATGATGTGGCAAACAGAATTGCCTAATCAGTCGGATATAACCCAACAAAAATAAAACCCGCCACGTCATTATAACCCGCCACGTCATTTAAACCAACCCAACCCAACCCATGACCCAACCCCACCCAACCCTTCTTCCTCCTTCCTCTCACCTCCTTCTTTCCCCAAAACCACCGCCGCCTGCCGCTCTCCTCCTTCCTCCCACCACCTTCCAACCCACCCAGAAAACCAAAAAAACCCCTTTCCCACTTCTCACCTTCTCCAACATCAAGTTCTAAAACTCGATTTCCCCGATGAATTCCAACTTCTCCGCCCTCTCCTGCCGTGACACCCTCCGCCTCATCCTGGAGAGGCTCCCCGTGGCGGACCTCGCCAGAGCCAGCTGCGTTTCCCGGGCATGGAACGCGGTGGCCTCCGATGACGAGATTAGGAGGCGGGCTTTCATGGCTCCCTGGAAATTGAAGGAGGTCGTCGGGAAGCCTGGCTCCGGCGGGTTCTGGAGGGACAACGGGATCGGGAAATTCGCCGTCTCGCACAAGATTGTCAGAGGGGATTCCGTTGCTAGCCTCGCTGTCAAGTATTCCGTTCAGGTGTTCTTTAATTTGCCTTTCCCCCCAATTGTGTTTGATCGTGAATTGAGCAGCTTGTACAGGGAAACAAACAAATTTTGAATTGAAATTAGAACTCAATTTCTAATTTGGCTTGGATTCCTTTGATAGCTAGCTAATAATACTTTCTTTTGGTTGCTAGAAGTGGGAAAGGGGGTTTTTTGGTTTTCTGTGTGGGTTGGAAGGTGGTGGGAGGAAGGAGGAGAGCGGCAGGCGACGGTGGTTTTGGGGAAAGAAGGAGGTGAGAAGAAGGAGGAAGAAGGGTTGGGTGGGGTTGGGTCATGGGTTGAGTTGGGTTGGTTTAAATGGCGTGGCGGGTTATAATGACGTGGCGGGTCGGGTTTTATTTTTGTTGGGTTATATCTAGGGATGGCAATGGGTCGGGTTGGGTCGGGTTTTGCCAAACCCAAACCCATGGGTTTATCTTTGAAAAAAATCCGGTGTAAAACCCACTGGGTTTGAAAAACTCAAACCCAACCCAACCCGTTGGGTATCCGCGGGTTCATGGGTACCCACGGGTTTTGTCGTAAAAAATTTACAATTACAAGTTCTTATCAAAATTAAAGTCAAATATCAATCTCTCAATACAAATTATCTATATATAAAACACCATTCTAGAAAATTCAAGCAAATCACAAATTAACTATACAAATTGTTCAACACCAATCTAGAAAACTCAAGAAAATTGAAGCAAATCACAAATTATCCATAAATAACATGTTTAATTGAAAGCTTCTTTCTTTCAATTAAGTTTCTTTACTCTCCACTCCATAACATCAACTTCATTCTACACAATTAAAAAGAAAAAATTAGACAAGTCTCCACAAATATAAATAAGATTAGTTGTTTAGATTATTAAATATACCGAAAAAATTAATTATATGGATGGGCGGGTACCCACGGGCCGGGTTTACCTAAACCCAAACCCAACCCAACCCGGTGAATAGTGAACGGGTTTAAACCCAAACCCGCCCCAAAACCCGTCAAAACGGATTTTACCCGCGTTGACCGGGTTGGGTTGGGTGGGTACCCGTGGGTTCGGGTTTTGTTGCCATCCCTAGTTATATCCGGCTGATTAGGCAATTCTGTTTGCCACATCATCACTTAACGAACTTCATTAACGGAGTTGGACGGAGACTAACGGCGAATGACTAAATGTGTCCAGTTTTAGTAATTGTAGTGACCAAATTTGATATTAATTTTTTCTAGTGACTAAACATGTCCCGATTTTGTAATCTCAGTGACCAAATGTGTCTTTAACCCCAAAATTATCGTAAGGCAAGGAACCATGCTTGACATGAGAACATTCCCACATGACATGAGTTGTTGACTTGTTGTACATGTGTTATATTTTTTTTGAGATTTAGCCTAGCTAAACCCAGATGAAATTTTAATTGCAATGAAAAGTATTTTGAAGTTCATATTTTATTACAAAGATTATGAGTAGGGATTGGATGAACAATGATTAGACTCAAGACGGACTAATTTTTGACCTAATAAATATTTGGAACCAATTGAATTATATATAATTCATTCGATTTTTGGTTTTTTAATTGGAAAATGAATCTAATTGATATTGGTTTCTCTCTCCACCTACCATTGAATATGAGACTACAGAGCTGCAAATATTGCTCGAAGTCAACTAACTTTAAAAATGGCTATTGTGTTAGACTGTATAGGGCTCGGCCCATTTTATGTACGTACGTAGCTCACGTACCCAGCCCATATCCATGCATACGTAGACTTGTTGAGAGCATGGATTAGGGTTTCGTGTATATATATATCCTCCTGTACTCCTTGTTGACATTCAAGCTGCATAAGAGATCCCTGTTCTCCGTGGACTAGTCGGTATTGCTCTCTACAATACTGGAAACCACGTATATCGATTGTCACTTTATTTTCAGCTCACAGGTTCACTAACATGGTATCAGAGCTTACGGCTATGGATTCACAGAGGCTCTCCATTCGATTGACCCACAAGAACTATGCTTTGTGGGAATTCCAATTCCGGGTCTTTGTTGAAGGTCACGGTTTGCTCGTGATTCTCAATGGTACGATCAAGAAGCCGCCGGCGCCGGCTACGGACCAAGAAATTGCTCGTTGGGAGCAAAGTGATGCCCGGATTCGTTCCTGGCTGCTCGGCTGTGTAGATCCCACGATTTCCCTAGGGCTTCGGCTGCACTCGACGGCGCATGGCATGTGGACTCATCTTGCGGCCACGTACTCCACCGTCAACACTACTCGCCAATTTGAACTTCAAATCGAATTGGGGCGGCTGGAGCAGGGAAACAAGGACGTCGCGGCATATTTCAGTGCGGCGCAGGAGCTATGGATCGAGCAAGACATGCTGACGGCTTTCGCTGCGGTCCAAGGAGGCTTCTGCCGAGGTTATGGAGGAAGGACAACACGCTCGTCTCGGTCAGTTCTTAATGAAACTCCGCCCGGAGTTCGAATCGGTGCGTTCCACTCTGCTGAATACGGACGACTTGAAGCTTGAAGGGATTCTTGGCCTGCAGGTTCGCGAGGAGATCCGTCTCCGCACCCAGGCCCAGCTCGATGTCCGCCCTGGTGAGGGTGAAACGGTGATTGCAGCGTCGGCCATCTCTGATCAGCAGTCGGCGGCTGCGTTTGCTGTCCAAAAACCACAATTCCACCGACGCGTTGCGGCTGCTGATGTGGAGTGTCATCACTGCCATGAAAAGGGGCATTATCAAAAGCATTGTCGAAAGAAATTTTTTTGTGTATACTGCAAGAGTCGTGGCCCTATTGTGCTCGACTGTAAATCTGCTCAGCGTGCAGCAGCTCGCGCTAATGACCCGCGGCTTTCCTCGACGGATCGGTCCATGGGCGATCGCCCAGTCTATGCAACTCCAGTGGCCGTGGAAGCTTCTCCATCGGCGATCAATGCTGCTATCGTCGAACAGCTCGTGAGTGCTGCCCTTCAACGATCATTGACGGGCGCTATCAGGAGTGCATTTGCTGCCCTGCAGGTGACAGGTATGTCTAAACCTTGGTTGCTCGACTCTGCTTGCTTCAATCATATGATGCAAGATGCTAATCACATGCAAAATTTGGTTCCCGTACATGATATGGCCTTACAAGTTGCAAATGGTCAAAAGTTAACAGTAAATGGTGTGGGAATAGTTCATAATTCTCATATGCGGCTACCAAACATGTTACATGTTCCTTCGTTGGTTCCTAATTTGGTTTCTGTGGGCCAGCTTACCGAGCAAGGTTTATCCGTTTTGTTTGGTCCTTTTGGTTGTGTTATTCAGGACACGAAGACGGGGAGGCAGATCGGGCGAGGAGTAAGAAGGGGAGGGTCTTTCATCTCGAGGAGCTCTCAAGTACAGGGTCACCATCATCACCATCAGTTAGTTCACCCCTTGTCAGTAGTCCTTCAAGTCAAGTAGTCTCGTCAGTGTCTAGTGGTTCGGTTTCTTTTCCAGTGTCTTCGTCTTTGTCAAGTCGGTCTGATAATGTATGGGATTTATGGCATGCTCGTTTGGGTCATCCCAACTCTGCTCGTCTTTTGGCTATGTTAAAACAAGATCTCCTTGGGAAAAATAAGATTGATGGTGTTGCTTCACATTTATGCACGAGTTGTATTGAGACCAAGATCACTAGTATTCCTTTTCCCTTGAGCACGACTGTGATTTCTGAACCATTTCATCTTATACACACTGATTTGTGGGGGCCGTCCCAGATCGTATCGTGACTCGCTATGACACAACTCCTAACAATGGCCAAGTGTAACCAATGAAAAGGGACTGCAGTATAGTGGCTCAAGTAATAAATATCGAATCCACGGGTCTCTAGAGTTACTATTACTCAGCTTCAGTTCATTATCTAGCAAACCAGATTAAGATGAAAGAACTAAAACTACTCTAGCAAACTACAGTTAAAGTTAATCTAGTTACAGGTTGGGAACTCACTTAGGTATGATTCCCCCTAGCCACTAGCTAGAATAATGATTGATGATCTCTAACCTGTTTCACTTTCATTCACAATGCGGAGAATCCTTAACTAGACCTTGAGTCTCGACTAAAGGAACAAGGCCCTCTTGAGTCAATTGCCTAGAGGGACGTATCCTTCTCTAGAACAACCGATCAAGGCGTTCTGAACTAGACTCCCTCTATCGAAAGAGGTTCTCAATCGATACAAAGCAGTGAATCAACCCTCGACTAAAGCAGTCGATCCAATACTATCAATCTATGGCGCTCTATTGACCTAATCAGGTATTCGCTCTCATAGGATCAAAGCAGAATCAATAATCTCGACTAAAGCAGAATTGAATCATGAAAACAAGCATAGATTGAATATGAACTCAAGATTATCAAGTAAGAGTACTCATACAATCATCCAATCAAACAAACATGGCTAGGGTTCCTCAAAACCTAAGTGAAGGGAAGTTACTCCATAGAGAAGAGAGAGACTGCAGTAAGAGTCTTCAGATGATCAGTCTTCAAGTCCGGGCTTGTTCCTCGAGCTTCCAAGGCGAAGAAATCCTCCAATTCCACTCTTAGAATGCCCTCAAATCGCCCTCTCTCTCTTTGGTTCGTCCCTTGGGTGTTTGGGATCCAAAACCCAGCTCCCCCTCTCCTTTGGCTCGAATTTGGGTTAAAAAACCCGATTCTGGGCAAAACACGGTCGCGGGCACGACCGTGCTTTGGTTTTGCCCGTCCGTGTTTTGCCCCCGTGTTAAAAACCCGCCGGGCGCGTTGGCCAAAACACGTTCGTGCCTAAATATGGGCACGACCGTGTTTTGATTTAGGCGCGCCCGTGTTTTTACTGCCGAACCTGTTCCCCTATATTCAATGCTTCGTTTCTCCCTCGTCCGGACTCCGAATCAGTCGCCGTTTGATCTCAGACGCTCGTAGTCTCGTCCTCTTTCCTTTCATGACAAGCTTGCATGATTCTTTGTCCATAAAGTGAGGTAGAAATCCATTCTTCTTCAGGACATGCCCGAGTTTCTGCTCCCGAATCGCCAATTGATCTCTGATTGACTTGAAACTTGCGCCTATGCTTCACTTTATGTGCTAGGACCTGAAATATGACAAAGG